TGTGAACAGATTTGGCTCAAACTACTGGATGTTGTCTCCTGGGGTAATTTGACCTCCTGAATACGAATATCACATTCGCTTAGCCCGAAACTTCCTGGCGCCCGCGCCACAGGCGCCGGTGATTTGGGGTATTTTGGCGCCAGCGCCTGTAGCGCGGGCGCCAAGAGGTTTCGAGCCGAGCGGATGTGATATTCGTCAGACTACCCCAAAAACACGTTTTCAGCAAATTTGGTGATTTAGGGTATTTTGGCGCCGGCGCCCCGTGGGGCGGGCGCAAGGAGGTTCCATGGCGAACGGATGTGATATTCGTGTTCACGAGGTCAGACTACCCAGTGAACACATTTTTAGCTAATTCTGCCCATGCAGAAAAAAGTCGGTTGAACTGGGCTGTTTTTGGTAGAATGGGGCAGTAAAGGGTAAATAGTGCCCCGGACGATATCATTAGGCCGCCATTCGTGCTAGAGCGCGCCGCCACAGTTCACATGTCCTAGCTCCTAGTGGATGGCGGTGATCATTTTTGTGTTCATACTGACCCATCAACATTCATGTGTAGGTTTCCGGCATCCTTGGCTGAATTGTCCATTTTCTCGTCGCTTCGTGGTCGCATCTCCGTGCAAAAGAACACGGATATGTCACGCGTAATGCGCTTGTTGCAAATCTCAGACGAGCAGTTGGATGCAGTACGGAACAGGGATCAAATGGCTCAGTTTAGGTTAGTGTCCTTTGGTACCTGGACATTTCTTCATAGAAAATGACGCATTCATTTGTTTAGAGAGGAAATCTTGTCAAATGTCAGGTCGAAAGACGAGGACTTAGGAGTGGTCGTTGACAGGATTGAGCAACTACCTTGGTGAGTTTAGTAGTCAACAGTTTCTAGAAGGATACGCAACTACAATCTACTCTCCGTTGTTTGCTTCATGCATGCTTGAATGCAACACCGCATTTCCGTCATTTTTTTTTCTAACGAAAGTATAAATTTCAGCACAAACACGTCGGTTGCCGAAGCAACAAGAAAGGTCTGTCGTGTCCTTTTCCTATCCATCTTCTCCTGGTATCGTATTTGTAGTTTTCAGCCCTCGTCGGCCGATTCTGGGCTAGACCTAAGTTCCGAAACGTCATTGTTGGATGCTGTCGTTGACCGTCAAGAACAAGTTAGAACCTATTTTTTGCCTGGGTTTCGCTAGTCATAAAATTGTTTGTGAAACACATTATTCCGCGGCATCTACGAAGATACGTCATCTATATGTTATTCAGAAATCCCTTTGGATTATGTTTCTGTTCAGGGTGAGGACGTAGTGGACGACGAGTCACTAAAATTGGTGAAGAAGCGAAAAAGAAAGGTTAAAAAGGAGGTATGGAGTTTTGATCTTCTTCTTCTATCGTGGTTAGGGACATTGTTGCACTTGCTAGTCTAGTCGTGGAACAGCTAACTCAAACATTTTCACAGAGGCTACTCGAGCTCTTGACCATGAGTCTGATATTCACCTGGGTTCTTTGTTCTACGGAGCACAGCAAATGATGCCAGGACAGTAGAGCTTTTCTAAGGTTCCAGTCCACGGACGGCAGTCTTCCGGAGAACCTTGGGAACAGCTTATCTTGTTCAATCAAGGGTTTTCGATAAACCCTCCTCCCAGGAAGACCCATGAGAACATGTACCTAACAAGGGAATGGTTTGAACTTCCCATGGAACTTTGAATGGAGACCTAGGTACATCGATAGAGTCTCGAATGCTGATTACGAATATGCAGATTAAAAGTGCTACGGGGACCTCCCAGACGAGTTCTGGGCGGTCAAAGTTTGCGAAATCCCGGTTTTGTCTCGTAAGCGCTGCTGATCGCTCATTGGACAGTGTCACCGTGGCCTAGTGGTAGTGGTCTCGCTTCAAAGCCGTAATGTCGTGGGTTTGCATCCCGTTGGCGTGAAAACTTTTGCTTCGTCTCCTATAAGAGCTTTCACTCTAATTTTCGAAATTGCTCCGAGTTTACGGCTCAGCAGAGCAAGTAGATCAAGTAGATCAAGTATTGACGTATTCGATCAAGTATGGATTTGATCGCTATCTGTCCTCTCTGAACTCATTACCCATCCGACAATTCGAAGTTTTCGGCCAGAATCACAATTTGGCCGGAAACTCGCTCCTGGGTGTATTTTGACCCCCTGAAAACGATATCATTTCATTGAACGAATATCATTTACTTTTTGGCAAGAAGACGCTTGTAGCCTTTCACTTTGCTGTGATCACCAACTGAACATCAACTGACCGGTCGTTTTCTCGCCGAACGAATATGATATTCGTTTTCAGGGGGTCAAAATACACCCAGGAGCGAGTTTCCGGCCAAATTGTGATTCTGGCCAAAACTTCGAATTGTCGGATGGGTAATGAGTTCAGAGAGGACAGATAGCGATCAAATCCATACTTGATCGATACGTCAATACTTGATCTACTTGATCTACTTGCTCTGCTGGCCGTAAACTCGGAGCAATTTCGAAAATTAGAGTGAAAGCTCTTATAGGAGACGAAGCAAAAGTTTTCACGCCAACGGGATGCAAACCCACGACATTACGGCTTTGAAGCGAGACCACTACCACTAGGCCACGGTGACACTGTCCAATGAGCGATCAGCAGCGCTTACGAGACAAAACCGGGATTTCGCAAACTTTGACCGCCCAGAACTCGTCTGGGAGGTCCCCGTAGCACTTTTAATCTGCATATTCGTAATCAGCATTCGAGGCTCTATCGATGTACCTAGGTCTCCATTCAAAGTTCCATGGGAAGTTCAAACCATTCCCTTGTAAGATGTATGTTATCGCAAGGACAAACAGTTTAACCGCACCTCCCGCTCAGGGCATTTTGGTACCATCCTTTATTGCTGTTGCTCTCACAAAGGCCTAGAGAACTGGCGTCAGCCTGAAGCAGCTATGTGACCTCCACAGCTGATTCGATCTCGCGCAGATTTCTTGACAATTTCGCTGAGAGGTGGAGGAAACAGCTGTCCAGCATACATCGCTATGATCCGCGGTTTATCTTCATGCCAAGATTGGGTTCTTGACCGTTTTATTCAACAACTGGTCGTTCAGTGGAAATATTCACTGTATGAGGCTACAGAAGGCGCATAGGTCGAAAAGCCATCCTATCCCAACTGAGGGGTTAAAGCCAGCGTGATTCTCCTGAGCAGTTCTGATAACGATCAGTGAAGCTAATGTGCTCTACTCCGAAAGAGATAGTGACGTAGAACAGGTCAAACATGCATTTAAGGTATTTTTTGGCTGTAAACCCTCGTAAGAGCTTACTCCTCGGGTATTTACAACAATGATCTCTTATAGGTCAGTCATGCTGATATTTCATTGCTGTCGACCATCTCAGTCACATCACCTGTTCACTCTGGTAGTGCACCAGATAGTACCAAGAGAAGGAAGAAGAAAAATAAATTCCATAAGGTTATTTCCTTATATTCATATTATTTTAATGTATGAAGTTACCTCCTATTTTCTGGAGCAATAATGACTTTATTCTTTCTTGTAGGCTACTTGCCCGGAAGCCTCCGAGTGTGCGGAAGGCCTTAATACGTCCAGAAGTTTCTCGTTGGTGGAAGGTGACAAATCACTATTGAGTAGTCCTGATGTGTTATCGAAGAAGCGCCCAAAGCAAAAGAAGAAAAGGATGTCAGAAAAGGTATCTTCCACTGTTGGTGTGTATCATTTTCCTTGCTTATCGATAGTCTCCCGCATCAGAGCTCCGTTCGCTGAGGTGGACGATGGAGATGAGCCATCAAATGGAGAGCAGATTTTGTCTAAAAAGCGCCTGTTGTCAGCCAGCTTTTCGGAAGTGCCACTACGAAACAAAAAGAGAAAGAAAAAGAGGATATCGCAGGAAGTATTCATTGGTGTCATAGAGTTTTCGAAGTTTCTTGCTCACATGTTAAGTATGTCATCCAATCAAGTTCCTTTTTTGCAGAGTTCTTCCTTAGTCCTCAGTCCCCAGAGTTCATGCTGTACCTCATACCAGAGGTCATTCACAGATGACTCATCTTTCAAAACTCCTAAAAAGCTCAAGCGAGTAAGTCATTCTATTTTATGAAGATTTCTTCACTACTGCTGTTGGTAAGTTATAGAAGTTAACCGTTGGAGAAGGCGATGGTTCGTCTGTAAAGAGAGGTTCATTCGATGGAACTGTTGTGTGCAGTGAAATGAAAGCTCGCAAAAAGAAGAAAAAGGCATCCCTAACGGTACTTTCGAGTTGTGGTATTCCTCATTTCCGTGCTTATCAGTAGTTTTTTGCATCAGAGCTCCTTCGTTGAAATGGATGATGGAAATGGGTTTCCAAATGGGAAGCGAACTTGGGCTGAAAAGCCCTTGTCATCAGCTAACTCTTCGACTCTGTCAGTAAGAAGCGGAAAGAAGAAGAAGAGGAGGAGGATATCACAAAACGTATTCGTAGACTTTTGGGCTTATAGTTTCTCAGAGTTTTGTTCCATATTCACATTTTAAAAGGTCGTTCAATCAAATTCCCTTCTTGCAGACTCCCTCCATGGACCTCAGTCCTCAAAGTCCACGTGATTTCTCATATCAGAGTTCGTTTACAGATGACTCATGTTTCAAAACTCCTAAAAAGCTCAAGCGAGTGAGTCATTTGATTCTGATGGAGACCTTTTCAGTACTGCTAGTGGTAATTTACAGAAGTTAACCGCTGGAAGAAGCCGCTAGTTCTCTTGTAAAGAGAGGTTCATTCGATGGCACGGTTGTGTGTAATAAGTTAAAACCACGCAAAAAGAAGAAAAACAATTAACGGTTATTATGATTTCGTCCTTGCCTACAACCTAAAGGTTTTGTTGTTGTCTGTTCCGGATGACAGTGATCTGAATGCTTAGCCGTACCGTCTTGTTGTCTTTGCTCAAGTAATAAGTTCTTGTTATGTACAAATCTTGTTCTTCTGCCAGCTGTTTTTGTTTTTTGTTTTTATTGCCTGTTGATTGCGGTTCAGTTGTTAATCTGAGGTCTGAGAGAGATAATTTTTGTCAGGTTGAACTTGTCTTGTAAAATGAACAATAAGTATATGGTGGTTTTCCTGAAAAAAATGTATCATCGCTATTATACTACTTACAGTTCAGTATGCTGTAGCTGCTTCTTTTCCTTGGTACGGTTCGGCTTGGCGGAGGCATCTCGCTGGTTCCGTCGATCAAATGCTTTGCCTCCTAAGGAGATCCGTAAATTCCGGGAAGTTGTGCAATAGCAGAAACTTCGTTACATTTGGTACGAGTCCACAGGTCTCGTCAAGACTTGACATTATCTAGCAGAAATTAGCGAAAATGCAAATGCCCCTCCCAAGCAAAACAGCGGCTTTTTTCCCCTCATAAAAAACCGAGCAAAAATACATGATCCACTTCGCTGTATCATATTGAATAAGCAGAAATGGGACGAGGTCTGACTCGTTATCTGTTCTTATCAGTTCCTTCTCACATAGGGTTCAGGGTACTTTGAATGCTTGAAGCATAGTAGAGGGTGATCTTGTGTGACTTGACTGTGACTTCGTCTTCCCTAGTACTCCATTGCATTCTCGTTTTTATTTTTGTTTTTTGTTGAACGAAACCAAGATTTTATGTGGCAAGGTTTCGGGTCCTAAATGCTTCCTAAGATTCATCCTCCATACTGCTCGACATTTTTCGTTTTTTGTTTTTTTTTTGAACGAAACTGTCAGTTTGTGACGACATTTCCTTCCCTGAGTACTTCCTTAGTTCTACAAAGCAAATATCATGCGTGAGAATCAATGCTAGCTGATTCATACAGGGGTTATGAAAAACGAATCGTTAAGAACCGACCGATCGTCAATAATGATGTCTTTCTGGGCGGAAGGTTCTTTCATGTATAGGAAGCTACCCTCTATAGCTCTCCACTTTTACAGAACGGATAAGTTAGATAGGTGGTGAGAGAGGCTAGGTCCTTGCAATGACAGGGCGTGTCTGGAGTGATGGGTTTGGCACGGCGCCAAGACCGTTTTCCACTGATTCTTGAAGTGAACAAGTGACAAAACTGTATCATATAGATAGTGTCGATCGTTTGTCACCAACTGTTGTCACATAGCCGCTTCAGCAAGTGGTGCAAAACGAATTTGGGGCCGTGCCATTTCCGGCATCCGCAGCGAGCAAGACTGCAATTGTAACTCCTTACTTTTTCCAGCTCTGTCTTGAGCCTTGGGTTGTCTCAGTTGGCAAATGGAACAGGAGGTGTTTCTTGATCATAAAGCATCCGTTACGATAAACCGACAGAGTCTGTAGTGACAGGCGGAGAATAATCGCCGCGGTAGTGGCGTCCGCGTGCGACGTCGCTGCCGGCAAATTGAGCGTGATGTTACGGGTACAGTAGATGGTGACAACTGGCAATTCAGAACCGAAAATGGTCATGAATATCTACAATTACAGGTATACTGTAGTTCGCTGCGGACGGTTGGGCGTGTCAGTGCGGCTGCGTTTGGCGCGGTGCCAAACTCGTTCTCCACCAGTTGTTGAAGCGGGCAAGTGACAATACTGTATCATATCCTTCGTATTACTCGTTTTCTACCACTTTTTGTCGCATGCGCGTTTCAACAAGACGGCAGAGAAAGGCTCTGAAGGTGTGAACACTCATACTGGCTGACACGCCCAACCGTCCGCAGCGAACTAGAGTGTACATGAACTTCGGTGCAGCAATTGACAGCTTAACCCATTGCGTACCGCGTGCTGCACCATGTGCAGCACGCTCATTCGTCGCTGTATGGCCGCGTGCTGCACATGGTGCAGCACGATGATTTTTCCGCTCCATCTGGATTATTTTGCATCCTTTTCTGCTACAAAGTTGCGAGCATATGTTTTTGGACACGGAGAACAACATAAGTACGTGGGACCTCGATCGCTGAAGGAGCACTTGGGTTATTGACCTCTTTCATGAAATACTTCAATTGTGATCTTCTTCATTTATTTTCAACGTTCATAAACACTCATAAAGGATTAAACAGGACACCGTTGATGATATGTGTGGAAACACTTAATGCAGAAATATGAAAATTGCTGCGAACGACTCACTAAACACCTTTCTTGTCGACCAGTAATCTCTGAGGTTTGACCTGATTTCGAGTCCCATTTGGAAACAAATCGCCAAAAACCTCATCGAAATTATTCTAGTTTGATTACTTTGCGATAGCATAACGACTGGTTTCTCTTACAATCAAATCAACGAGATCGTTTGTGAAAAATCGCCGGAAAAATTGGATTGGGTACTGGTAAGATAGAACATCTTCATCCAGTGCACCACCGAAACCTTGAAAGTCAAAATTGTTCTGCCTGCTGATATTTGGGGTCCATTGAATCCCTCCATCGTTTGTATCTGAGCCTTCTTCGCTTGATTCCCAATCGGACTCATCACTTGAATGATTCACGCGGACAACCATATCTTCTGGGGTATCAGGGCCCTGTTCCATCACTTCGTCATCACTTTCAATCAGAAGTTCATCAAACGATCTATTCAGCGCGTCCATCATTGCCTATCTGGAACGGCTACCATAAATTAGGCGTAGTTTCCCAAAAAAATAGCCTGGAGAAGCGAAATGACGTACGTTGAGTTTATACTTCGCTGCGGGCGCGAGAAATACCGCTCTGCGTGGCCGCGTGCTGCACCATGTGCAGCACGCCGGCGAGGTTGCGAAATATGGCTCGGGCACACGCGGCAGCCAGCGAAAAAACGCCGCGGTACGCAATGGGTTAATACGAGTTAAGAAAACGCCGCGCCCATTGCCGCGCGCGGCGGAGCGGCAAATTAGGACTCTCTTGCCCGTCTCCCGGAGAGTCTGCCTAGCCAGACTCTGGACAGTCCAGAGGTCTTGGAGCTTTTTTAGACAGAAAAAGGA